TCCGTGTCATGCACGCGGTAGTGTGCGGAGCTAAACTGGTATTCTAATAAAGGTGAGGACAATAGATAATGACCGGCTTCTGCCCACCAAAAGACATACTTGGAATATCATAGGACTTAAAACCAGTGACTACGATGAAGGAAATTGATTGCAAACTGGGAGATGCTAGAGATTTTGCTGACGTGTTGAATGCCATTGGCATAAAAACATTTTAAGGTGATCCCAACCACATCCCCGAAGGAACCAAAGGCCTAATACCCCACTGACGCACGCCATTGAAAGCAAAGCGCTCTATACTCCAGCCATCGCTATCGCTGCTCGGAAGTGAAACATCACTGAATTGAGCTTATGCAACCATTACGTCCCTCAAAACCACGAAAGTCAAGAACAACAATAACTTGCTTTTTAGCGCGCACTATCGTTAATAGGCTAAATAAGGAAAATGTAGATGGTATTGTTTCGACGAGCACGACTTCCTGATCGTGAGAGCCACAAAGTTCGTAAAGGATAAAAAGATAAAGCATTTGCCGTTGATCAATCCCTTTTGGGATGCGGCACGCATTCTACTTCCATTTGTACATTCGTAGTGGCGTTTGAATGCGATGTGGCCTATACAATGACTTGCGGGGGCCAGCCGATGTACAAGTCAGTGTTTTTATCCTCCCAGACAAGTCTGGTACCAATTAACCGACCCCGGAGGGATGGAAGGCTTGGTTGGCCCGGGCGACTCACGACCCAGGATTTGATCCCCGGACCGCTCGCGTGGTAAGCGTGCCACTTGCCACTACACCACTTCCGCCCAAAATTCGTGATTTTAATAAATTTAAAGGCAAAGTTCGGGCTCAGACCCACTTAATGAGCCTTTACGTGGCTAGAAGCGCTAGGTACGCAAGTGCAGAGGTCGCGTCACTTCCCTACTTCGAAAAGCGTTACTTAGACGCTAGGCGCTAAGAACTTTGACACGCTCCACCTGTTGCGACACGCTCCGCCCACCGCTCGATATCTTGTCTGCGTCGCAACTTGATCTGCTATGCTCTCTCTACTCGGACTTCTCTACGCTCTCCGCGCTCACATTATCTCTCATCTCCCTGCCGGCCTTTTGAACTTCTCCGCAGCGTAGAGCAAAAGCTCGTATTTCCTGTGTATTTCACGATTTTCTTTCC